ATGGTTAGCAACAATGCAATAATGGTAATTGAATATTTTCAAACAAACAAAAAAGACTATCCCTTTGTTTCTAAAAAAAAAATACATAAAAACAAGGTTTAAATGGTTTAAAAATAACATTTGTACTCATATACCCATTTGAAATGAAGAGTTTCATTACACTGATGCACATGTAAAAGCTCTAACTAATCGATTTACAATATTTGTAGTGTTTTTACTTGCCGGATTGAGCTCAAGTCAATTACTCATGCACATGCCTTTTTTGATGGACAAACACTTTGTAATTCAGTCATTCCCCGAATTTTGCAATCATTGCCAGAAAAAAAATGACATTTTACTGCAATACAAAGGGAGGGAAAAAAATCATCACTCTGAGATTCTCTCGAGAAAGTAAGTATTAAGACGATTCTGTGGATCATGCGTAATGCTTAAATGTCACATTAACCGCACAGAAGAAGCATCATTAGCTCGTAGAGATCAGTGGAAATCCAAAGATCCTCTTTCAGGCTATCATCTTTCCACTGTAAGCATTATGCTTCCTACATTCTCTATTGATTCAAAGATGTAATGTGTCCTCTCCATCTGTGGAGATTCACTTGACCTTTCTGTCCCTCAAGAGCTCATCGTGTTCTTGTGTGTAGCCATCTCTTCAGGGAGAATATGGAATGCAGGCTTTTCTTACATTACACATTTGTTTTTTCATAGTAGGCTGATAGAACATTGCATTTCAGTAACATGTTAATCACATGTTAACCTTTAAACTGCAAAGTATATGCATGATAAAATGTGACCTTTTGGAGTCCCAGAAGAGCTTAACAAAGAGAGTCTCATGATTCTTTTTTGTTTCACCAAATGTTTAACATTTGATAGCGTTGATCTAAACTCTTTCCATTTCACAAATGGTGTGTGTGTGCGTGTTCTGAGCTGCTTTTTGTTAGATGACCCAGGAGTTATCATCCATCCATTCGTTCATTGTGTACATTGCAAGGAGAATCATTTTCATCTCATGTTCATGAACGAAACAATGCAATTTTTCTAAGAGCATTTGGTGCAAATGGGGTAAAACGAAACGATCTACAGTACAATGTGCACTGCAAAACAATCATGTTTGAAAGCAAACCACTTAATATTCTTAGAGTTATAATTTAAGTTAACCACCAGATCCTCCTGTCAATCCTAAAGATGAAGGGCATCTCGGGAACTGCACTCCAATGGTTCGAGTCTTACCTCTCAGGTAGGTCCTTTAGGGTGTCGTGGAGAGGTGTGGCATCTAAGACCCAACATCTAGCTACTGGGGTGCCTCAGGGCTCAGTGCTTGGACCACTCCTCTTCTCCATCTACATGACATCACTAGGATCTGTGATTCAGAAACATGGCTTTTCCTATCATTGCTACGCTGATGACACGCAACTCTACCTCTCATTCCAGCCTGACGATCCGACGGTAGCTGCTCGTATCTCAGCCTGCCTGACAGACATTTCTGGCTGGATGAAGGACCACCACCTTCAACTAAACCTTGCGAAGACAGAGCTACTTGTGGTCCCGGCCAACCCAACACTTCATCACAACTTCTCCATTCAGCTAGGCTCGTCATCCATAACTCCATCAAGGTCAGCTAAGAACCTTGGGGTTGTAATTGATGATCAGTTGAAATTCACAGATCACATTGCTAGAACTGCCCGGTCCTGCAGATTTGCCTTGCACAACATTAGGAGGATCAGGCCCTTCCTTACAGAGCATGCCACACAACTCCTTGTCCAAGCACTTGTTTTATCCAGACTGGACTACTGTAATGCTCTCCTGGCTGGTCTTCCAGCTTGCTCTGTTAAACCTCTACAACTGATCCAGAATGCTGCAGCCAGAGTAGTCTTCAATGAGCCGAAGAGAACACACGTCACTCCTCTCCTCACACAATTGCACTGGTTGCCAGTTGCCGCTCGCATTAAATTCAAGGCACTGACGTTTGCCTACAGAACAACCACTGGCACTGCTCCATCTTACCTAAACTCATTACTTCAGACTTATGTGCCATCCAGAAACCTGCGCTCTGCTAGCGAATGTCGTCTTGTGGTACCATCTCAAAGAGGCACAAAATCTCTTTCTCGGACCTTTACAATGGCTGTTCCCTGTTGGTGGAATGATCTGCCTAACTCAACCAGAGCTTCTGAGTCAGTAGCCACTTTCAAGAAACTGCTGAAGACATATCTTTTTCGGCAGCACTTGATTCAGTAGAATTAACACTTTCTCTTCTCTTCTATTCAAAAAAAAAAAAAAAAAAAAAAAAAACTGCACTAAAATTGAACTGAGAGGGGTTATAGCACTTACGTATTGTTGTCCTACTGTTAGTTTAACTGCTTCTATTGTTCTCATTTGTAAGTTGCTTTGGATAAAAGCGTCTGCTAAATGAATAAATGTAAATGTAAATGTAAATTTGAAAAATTGTAAATTCTGAAAATAAAACTTTTATGCAGTCTTGACTATGGAGCCCCACATTTAGATATTGTGGCCATAAATAAAAAAAAATTAGCCAGTGGTTGTTTTGAGTTGTCTGTGCACTAAACCCTGCCATTCAGCCAAATCAAATACAATATAGATGTGACTCTTTCCCATGGATTTATGGCCACATTTAATTCATTTAGTTAAATCATGACCACCTTTTTTTTTCTTTCTTTTTTTTCGTGCTGGGCTCTGGACTTCTCAAGTAAAACTGATCTAATTTTAAGGATGTTGATATGTATTTCACTGGAAAACAAGGTAAATATACTGATTAGGAAAAATATTTTTTCTACAGTCTCTTGGTGCTATTTTTACTTCTCATGATGTGATCTTAGTTCATATACAGCTCTTCCAACTCAGACTGGAATGCTACCCTCATTCTTGTTGTGAAGGTCAGTTTCCATACACTGTGCAGGAGATGGGTGGCTTCATTCATCATCTGTCTGACAGCCCATGTTGTGCCCTAAATCCACCCCCACCTTTCTCCTTAGTTTCTGCACAAGTAGGTTTGTCCCATTAAGAGCCATTTTCTTGGACACTCACCATCTGTCTTCTGTTCATTTGAGTATCTCCTTTCCATCTACCATTTAAAGCAAAACCTATTCCTCTGCTCAGCATGTGCTCAGATTGCTACATTTTAATGTATAACGCAAAGACATTTAAGGTTATGAAACATTAAAAGCACTTTAAAGACAACAACAACAAAGACTTAAGAACCTTCCATTATTCCCAAAATATATTTTAAATCAATCATTGACCTTGGGTGTTCACACACAGTGTATCATAGATATTCTTAAACAGGATTTATTTTTTTTGTCAGAGGCTGTAGTTGAAAGCAGAGGGGGTTGGTGATCGACTGTGTTTCTGGTCAGGGAAAATCGATTCAGAGGGTCCCATCTAAAGCTGGAGATAACCGTTACTGCCCCTTTCCTCTGACACGTCTCTCATTTCCAGACCCTTGGTCCATGCAGCCACAACTCAGGGAGAAGCTGGGCACTGGGTTAATCAGCTCCGGTCATGATGCGGGACAAGAGATGTGTTTGGAGCAAAGCTTGATCTATTGGTGCATACTTTTGATTTTAATGGTAGCCATTGTCTTCACACAAAGTAATCAAAATAAAGTAAAATTATCTTATACTTACAGTTTTGGAGGGACATTTATTTTACTCTTTTTCATGAATTCACTTGTACTTTTCGTTGTTTGTGTCTCTAGGTTGTCTGTTTTTGAGCTTACAGACTCTCAGTATTAATATATGGGCATTTTTAGTGGCTCTGCAGGTTGCATCACTATGCCAGTGGGTGTCTTTTGAGTGAGTCTTTGAATCATTCTCTCAAGTGATTCATTCTAATCACTGATTTGTTGAGGAACAAAACAAGTGGCTGTTTTTAAGTGAGTGAGTCACTGAATCATACTAACTCATTCAGGACAAAACTAAAAAAATGACAATGAATGAATCATTGAATAATTTACTCCATAGATTCGTCAGAACACTGATTCATTTAGCATCAAGACACAACAGTTGATTATTTTCATTTTGATGCTAACTATTTTCATTGGTGGGGCAAAATGCACAAATTATTGGCACTATTGTGTCTAAAATGTAAGTTAATTAACTTTATGTTGTTAATGATGTTATCCTGCTAAATTTAAAAGGACTAAATATTAACAGTTTATTGAACTGTTGTATTGAGCAGTTGTACTATTTCTCATATTGCTGTTTTGCTGTATAAACAGTTTAAAATAACTTATAGCATAATTTTTTTTCTTTGATCTGTGAAATAAAAGAAAAAATTCAAAAAGATTCGATAGAGGGACAAAAAATATAGCAAAATAATTACTGAAACACCTGTGACTTTAACGTTTAACTTTCTTTCTTTTTACTTTTCTTCCTTTAATCCTTCTGCCTTTCTTTTCTCATCTCTCTGTCTTTGCGGTATAAGTTTTAAAAATAGCACTTCATAATGGAGGGTCAGGATCCAAAGGGGAATGATGATCCTCCGAGGAGGAGACGTAATTTAAATTCCATGGCGTACGGGATTGCTTTTCCCCGTCCACTGATGAGGGCAGATATGCGATAGAGGGGGGCTTTAAGCTTCGGCTCCTGGGAAGCCTCTATCGCCAGGGAGCAGGAGCGGCATATCAGAAATCATCATGATGAAATGAGGGGTGAGGCTGAGGAAAGATCAGTGGGGGATTTGAACTTCTCATGAGAACCAGAGACAAAGGCAGAATGAGAATTATGTTTGTCCTCTGTCTCTCCATCTATTCATGCATGTTTGCGTGTGTGTGTGTGTGTGTGTGTTAGAGTGAGAGAGAGAGAGAGAGAGAGAGAGAGAGAGAGAGAGAGAGAGAGAGAGAGAGAGAGAGAGAGAGAGAGAGAGAGAGAGAGAGAGAGAGAGAGAGAGAGATGGACTGTGATTGCCTGCTCATCTTGCCCCAAATAATATTTGTCAGACCTTTAAAAGCTTACGCTGTCTTGTCTCGTCTTTGTGTATCCAAGCAGGGAACGAGGGTTCGGCTGAGAATGGACAGAAGGAGACGTCCACCTGTGACATTTGCCAGTTTGGAGCGGAGTGTGACGTGGATGCAGAAGATGTCTGGTACGCACAAAAGCAAACTGTAGGAGAACTAATACAGGATAAAAAATATAATTAAAAAAATAGACTGAATAAAAAGAAAAGATGCCCAGCCAAGCATTTCTTTAGTGAAAAAAAAATCATCATATACTCACTGTATTGTCATTCTAAACCTTTATGACGTAATTTCTTCTGCGGAACACTGAAGAAGATTGAATGTTCACACTGCTCTATTTCATACATTGAAAAGCTGATGGGGACCAGAGGCTGTTAAGCTCCAAAAAGGGCACTCTGTATATACTATATGTATTATACGTGTTCTGGGGCATATTAACATTTCTGTGAGAAACTGACTAAAATGTTTTGTCATTGACAAAATTCTTGCCTTTAAAATCTTCCTTTACAGCCCTGGTGTCCATGTACTTTCATTGTATTGAATATGTTCAAAAGTGTGGGGTTGGTATCTTTTAATGTTTTTGAAAGTCTCTTGCTTACCAAGGCTGCATTTATTGGATCAAAAATACATAAAAAATGGTAATATTTAGAAATATTATTACAATATAAAATTCCTGTTTTCTATTTTTATATATTTTAAAATGTAATTTATTCCTGTGGTGACAAAGCGGAATTTTCGGCATCATTACTCCAGTCTTAAATAAATTGAGGCAATAAATGTTTATTTAATGTGAATGCTTTCTCTGGTCAGTAACAAAGAGATTAGTTGGTTGTTTGATTTGTTGGTACTGTAATATCATATGGAATATGGGACACTAGGCTATATACGAGATTCGTCCACATACTTCAAAGAATCTCAGTTCTTTTAATTTGAACTCTGAGAACTTGTCCGAGAAATGAGCAAGAAACAAGGCCAATTATGACAGTTTCATCTCTGCTGATGAATGGCTGTTTAGCTCCGTTGCTCCAGCTCTGATAACTCATTAATATTCAATAACAAATAAGCAGAAAACCACTATAAGCAGTCAATTTGCTCTTCTGACAACATATTTATGTTATATTCAATGAGAAATGGTTATAATTTCTAGAGAATCTATTTGAGTTGTAAACACGTGAAAAAAAAAAAACATCATATATTTAAAATCCACACGTGGATGTGGAGAGGAGGTTTTCATTGCCCTGGGCATCAGTGAACAGCTCAAACTGTCAGCAAGAAGGAACGAGACTGCCCTTTAATCTTAATAGAAGTAGGCCTCTCTTCCTCCCTCCTGCCTATCTCTCTCAGGGCGTCTAAAGGGAATTACATGTCGGCCTTGGCAAAGACAGCCTGTAGATTCACTAAAGATTCAACAAGCTCTGGCTGGAGAGCTGGGGTGTTTGGAGGCATCAGAATAAAACAGCCCGGCCTCTCCCTCCTCAGAGATATCAGCACAATTTGAGGCATTTATGCCTGAGTCGTAGGGATGGTCCCATGACAGGCCCCTCGCTCTGATACACTTGACTGCAGATGACTCACTCACCTCACTGTTCCTCCACCTAAAAACACTCTACCTCTATCAGAAGTCCTTTTTTTTTAAGTCTCGCTCCATTTTTCCATCTTCCTGCATCATTTGAAAGGATTACTGAAAAAATGAGATGAGAGATTATAAATAAAATCAGTGCTATAAGCTGCATTAATAACATGTCAGTGTGTGTTTGTGCACTGATTGTGTGTGTAGTGACAAGCACCGGATTTGTTTGGCTGTTGTTTAGGACTAGTGTGTGTGTGTGTGTGTGTGTGTGTGTGTGTGTGTGTGTGTGTGTGTGTGTGTGTGTGTGTGTGTGTGTGTGTGTGTGTGTGTGTGTGTGTGTGTGTGTGTGTGTGTGTGTGTGTGTGTGTGTGTGTGTTATAGAGAGAGACAGAAAGATAGAATTTCAGTATAGTTTTCCGTCAGCATGTTGTTAAATATTATTGAGGTATTGAATAAATTATGATAGATAGATAGATAGATAGATAGATAGATAGATAGATAGATAGATAGATAGATAGATAGATAGATAGATAGATAGATAGATAGATAGATAGATAGATAGATAGATAGATAGATAGATAGATAGATTTGAAACATTGGGTTAAAGAAACAAAACTAAACTACAAATTACCCTGAAAACTGACATTGATCCTCAACAAGTACAGACTCTGTCATCATAATCCAGCCATAGAGAGAGAGAGAGAGAGAGAGAGAGAGAGAGAGAGAGAGAGAGAGAGAGAGAGAGAGAGAGAGAGAGAGAGAGAGAGAGAGAGAGAGAGAGAGAGAGAGAGAGAGAGAGAGAGAGAGAGAGAGAGAGAGAGTGTGAGTAAAGGGCAGCTGGACAGACAGGAAGCCCACAGGCCAGCCATGCTGGAAAAGTTTAGATAACAGAGAAACCACATGGCTCTTACAAATCAATAAGACATATCCCCTCACTCAACAAGATAAACACACGCTCACACACATACAGAGGCTACCATCCGAGCAACCTACATTTTTAAGGAAATCTCATCCCTTCAGTTAGACTCACTCGCAAAGCCATTATTACTTGATTTGCTATTGGAAATCTTTGGTGTGTGTGTGTGTGTGTGTGTGTGTGTGTGTGTGTGTGTGTGTGTGTGTGTGTGTGTGTGTGTGTGTGTGTGTGTGTGTGTGTGTGTGTGTGTGTGTGTGTGTGTGTGTGTTGTTGATGCAGTGCATTTGCAGTGTGTGTGTCCAGAGAACGTGAGAGGTGACATTAAATATTCATGCTCTGAAGACACATTAGCCTTTATGACCACTACAGATGGTCACATTGGAGAGCAAGTGTGTGTGCGCGTGTGCTTGTGTGACCATTACCAATGCTTCATAATAAATACATCTCAATATCATTGCGCCTGTTTGTTTCATCTCACATTCAGCGTTCCCAGGCATTTATCTAAATCACAATGCATTACAGATCTCAATTACCAATGGCAAACAATCAAAGCTGCCCTTGAGTGGACTTCATACCATAGTTCAATTCAGTCAGCGTCTCTATTTAAAACAGATATTTTTATCTGCACATTTGTAGTCAGTTCACATTATTCCAGTAGTGCCAGAATACAAAACGGCTCCTTACTCCACTAAAGCTCACTGGCAGGGTGGAAATATTAAAAAGGAAAGTTGAAGAAAGAAAAGCACACACACACACATACAAATAATGACAGATTTATAATTATACTGTCGTTTGTTTGCTGCAGTGAGAAGTGACTGGGGACGGCAGTGTAATTGTCATTTCTGCTCAACATGTTCCTGCAGTGGCACGCAGATGACTCATACACACTTTAGAGAGAAACTACAGCGGAAATACCTGAATGCTGAAGAGACAGACCACAAATGCGTATCTGTCATGACAACTATTGGAGAGTTTGGCCTTGTAATGAATGTGACAATGTTAATGTGTTTGGTCTTGGCGGAATAGATCTGCTATGTTGCTGATGCTGTGCAAACATACATGAATCGCCCTGCAGCAGATCTATACAGGTGGAGCTGGGGAAGGTGGAGGGTTTCTGAAAGCACGCTGCAAACTGCTGCAACAAATGATAGGCAAGGATTTGAATGTTGAGCAGCGAGCTCATTGGCTACTGATACAGCAGGAACCAATCAGCTGTGCCCAACAGAGAATGATGTGACTGCAAGCAGACTGGGTCAAGGACCTATCAGCATGTGCCATCTACAGTTTCATGACAGAACTTTGTGTTTCAACTCCTCTGGGAAATACCAAATAAACTCACATAACATACACAGTAAAGACAAGATGACAGATATTTTGTTCTCTCAGGCAGAAATGAATGACTAGTTCACACAAATTCAAAGGCTGTGTGTGTTGCATGCCTGTCGCAAATGTAAGAAACTTTGTCCGTTATTCAATGCGTCTTTGTCTCCTTGTCAGAAGCGCATAGCCTTTCATCCGTACATACGCGCATGCACGTAAGCGCTCATTACCGTCACTAATGAAGGTATGTGAATAAGAGCAGCCATTAAAACGAGCGAAGGAACATCAAAGCATTGAAACTCATCATTTCTCGTTTGAAACAGAGCGTTGTATTATTCTCCGCTGATGTGTTCGCAGTGCTTTGGTTGCTAAGCCAGTCCTTGTGCTAGTTATTAAGCCCCTGAGATGATAGTCTCAAGAATGTGCTATAGGTTGAAAATCACTGCTGCATCCAATTCAATCCCATCCACATTCATTCCCGAGCTTTCCCTTCTAGCTTCACGCTGATCCGAGGAGATGAAAAAAGACTTTACTCATTACATTTGCAATCTTGACACCCTTATCAACATTTATAGAGTAGACACATCATAAAAACCCTGTTGATGTTGGTGTTAATCTGTTTCTAATGGTAATTCATTCAGCCCGAAGCCAAATGGGTAATTATGAATGTCAGTTAATGTTTATGCGAGGTTATCGTTCCCGCTGATGCAGACCTTTTGTAAAGAGGCCTGTATTTTTTACCATTGTAATCTGTGTATGTTGCAGTGCTGTAGTCTCCCAGGATGCCTGTGAAAATGCTGAGCTTAACACACTCATGATGGAGAGGTGTACATTAAAGTCGTAATGTTCACCCTTTGCAGAACTGGCTCTTACAAAAGCAATTTTCTTGTATAGGCATAAAAACAAGTGTTCGTGTGATTGAATGAAAATACCAGCAACACTAGAATACACAAAATACTTCAAACTGTCCATTCCTGGCAGGTGTCGTTTGTGGGACAGACTTTGCTGTGTAGATGTTCTTTATATTTTTCTTTTATAGATATATTTTTTTTTATTCCACAAAAATAATAAGACGCACAATGGTTTTCAACACTGATAATTATAAGAAATGTTTCTTGACACCAAATGAACATATTATCATATTACGATTTCTGAAGGATCATGTGACACTGAAGAGTAATGATGCAGAAAATTCAGCTTTGCCATCTCATGAATAAATTACATTTAAAAATATATTACAATAAAGAAAACATGTTTTAAATTGGAATAATCCTTCATAATATAACCGTTTTTACTGTAATTTTGATCAAATAAATACAGCCTTTTTGAACAAAAGAGACTTTGTTCAAAAACAATAAACAACCTTTTGAACTATATTGTATAAATGTGTTTTAGGGATGTCCCGAGCCGATCTCAAGGATCGAGATCAGGACCGATTTAGCAATTTTTCAACTGATCGGTATCGGCTATCCTAAGTCCAAGTGTCATCCTTTCTAACCTTAATTCCACTTTTTTTCCCCTTGAAAAACAAACAAACCTTATTTACATCTACCAATGTCTTTTTACAGTGAGTGCATACATACATTATATATTTATATATATGTGTGTGTGTGTGTGTGTGTGTGTGTATTGGAAACACTCTGTAGTGATAGATGCCCCTTTATTACAGTTAAGCCCCTGAGAAACTCTCTGCACAGCCCTGTATACATTGGATTGATTTTAATAACTTGAAGTGTGCATCCAACCACTAAGAAAATACAAGTATCGGATCGGGACTTGGTATCGGCAGTTACTCAATATTCAAAGACTCGGATCGGGGGCACAATAAACCTGATCAGTACTTTGTTTATTTTATTTTACTTTTATAAATGCATTTGCTGCAGGCCATAAGGAAAGTTTAATGATTGATTTTTTTTTTAAATATGGGTTAAATATCGATCTTCAGTTAAACTTGATATTGATTCTTAAAATCTGTATTGATTGTGATGCATTATAAAGACAATGTACCACAAAATAATATCTTTCTATTAAGTTAGAAGAGAGAGAGATTCACTTTCATGTGTAAGAAAAATGGACATTGATATATAGCCGAATGAATCCGGAATTTAACTGAATTGAGCTTGAGAATTGAAATTGAATCAGGAAATCGGCAATGATACCCAGCCCTTGAGCTGTGTTGTTGTGCGCTGCTCATTTGGCCGGCCGACATTCCAATCTGAAATTTCTTGAGTATTTCCTCCTCTCCATCAATTCCTGTCCTCTCTCTCCTAATTAATATTCATAAGATTGGTAAAAGGCCAAAAAGATGCATTATTTCCAAAGAGGCCATTAAAGATTTAGCTTAAATATCAGATGTGAAACATTGAATTCCCTCCAGCAATTATTTTAAGTCCCCAGTTTGCATGTCTGAAGTGTTATTCTTAGCTGACAGCTTGATCAAACAAGGTGTGACACTTATTTAATGATCTTTTTCACCGTCTTTGATTTGACAGTAATTGGCATTTACTGTGTTGTTTCTCCCTACACAGGTGCGTCTGTAACATCGACTGCTCCCACATCAGTTTTAACCCCGTGTGTGCGTCAGATGGCCGTTCTTATGACAACCCCTGCCAGGTAAAAGAAGCGTCGTGTCAGCGGCAGGAACGAATCGAGGTCAAGTTCCTGGGTCACTGTCAGGGTAAGAAGACCATTTTAAAATCATTTATGATTACTTTATATAATATATTCACTTCTTATGTTGTTACATGATGTCTTCTTCCATTTAATTTGCATTTATATAAGACAACAAGAGAGAACACATGGAAAGATGAACATTATAAATCACTGTTACATAATCAAGTCCATTCATGTTCATATCATTAGACTCTGGAATATAGCAATTTTCTAAATATCATCTTCAAAATGACAATGTACAAATGAAAACAAAAAAACATGTTTTATTATATAACCAGCAGACTGGCAGAGGCAGATCTGTTCATTTTAACATCTGAATTCATTTCTATCCTGTAGGCGACATGATTACAGGCACCAAAGCAGGAGATGGACAATATGCCAGGACAGACTACACAGGTGAATGTGTGTTTAATAATAAAAAGTTGATTTTAACATGTATGTCCTGTGATTCTGAAGATGCCCTTGGATTCCAGCGGTTCTGACCCACTTGTGTGTGTCTGTGTTTGAATTATAGAGGAGAAGCCTGAGGTTTCAGAGGTGGCGAGAGGGTTGTACATTCCCTGCCCTGAGCACTATAAGAACTATTGTGTTCACGGAGACTGTGAATATCCCAACATGCTCTCAACACCGTCCTGCAGGTACACACACACACACACACTCATGATGTGTCTGATCACTCAAGCATATCCCGTTTAGAAAAATACCCTGTGAATACGTGTGTGCTTATAGGCACACAGCTTCTTATGATTGTGTATGTAACTCTATATCACAGAACTTTGTCTCCCCCTAGTGTTCAAACCATGAAAGTTGAAAAAAAAAAAAAATCTTTTTTTTTTTTTTCCTTTTTATTTAATTTTAGATTTAGGTATTTCAACTAAACGAAAATGAGAATTTTCCTTGGCAGCTAGCTAAAAAAAAAGTTTACTTTTTTGTTTGTTTGATTTGAACTCAAGTAATGTAAATGTGTTTGTGTGCGTGAATAGAGATATTACAGAGACCGTGTGGACTCTTTAAAACAACCTAAATAAGTCCACAGAGTACTAAAACACACATCTAATCTAACGAGTACATAATGCTGTGTTTCTTTCTTCAGCTGTCACTCAGGATTCAGCGGTCCGCAGTGTGAAACTAAGGAGTATAATGTGCTGTACGTGGTGCCTGGCTCTGGAAAGCTCCGCTACGTCCTCATCGCGTCTGTCATTGGGGCTCTGCAGGTGGCCATCATATGTGTAGTGGTGCTGTGTATTACCCGGTGAGCATAAACACACACCACAGCACGTTGTGCTACTGCGAAGGAAAGCTACCTCATGTGTAGATAACACACACTCGCAGCTCTTTATAGAGTGCGAGGTCCTGCCAGCAGGAGTCTTTTTACACTCTGTGAAAGGTCATTGTTGAAGGATGTGTGTATGGTAGTGAAATCTAAAGCACTTCTAGTAGCAATAAATAACTCACCCGTCTACTGAAATGCGCATCAGAGGGAGTGTTATCAGTATGTTCATGGATCATGATTAGAAGTGATGCTTTGCCATCACAGGAATAAATTACATTTTAAAATATGTTAAAATAGAAAACATTTATTTTAAATTTCAATCATATTTCTCAATATTACTGTTTTTACTGTATCTTTGATCAAATAAATGCAGCCTTGGTGAGCATTCAAATCATAGCTGTGGAAATCTGTCTGATGAATACTAATGCAGATGCATACCTACATGAAACAATCTTTTAAAAACTCTCAATAAACATTACAAGATATTTTTATAGCAAAAGTTCTGAAATATGAGTTTTTTTTCTTCCAGGCATTGTTTCGATTAGAAATAACATAGAGCTGCCGGTGGAAGCAAGTTATATGTATTGTTAAAAAAGAAAAACAGCAGGTTCTGATGTTTTACACATATGCCATGCACATATTGTCACTTAAAAATCTGCTCAATAAAAATATACATAAAAAAAAAAAGTTATATGTATGATAAGGACGTCCTTTTGCTTCCTCCACAGGAAGTGCCCACGGACCAACAGAATCAACCGGCAGAAGCAGAACACAATGCACTACAACTCTGAAAACACTCTGCGCGCCTCCACCCGCCTCATTTGAGCGCCGTGACCGCTCGTGAACAGAGAATCATGGGAAACATAGTTTGAACAAAAAATAAAAAAACTCAATCTCCGTCCCCACAGAGACACTGCATCCTGCTGGATGATGGGATGGAGACGGAGGACGATGGGTTCTACACACGATGCCTTGCACCTGTGGCACAGGAAACAAACAGAGAATTTTAGGACAACATGATAGGACAAGTCCTGTTATTTGGTTAAGTATGGGTAATATTTCCAATAGTTAATTTGTTTGTCTTGATGGGGTCCTTTTTCTGTAATGTAAATAAATAATTTATATCACAAAGCACTGTGTGTTTATTATTTTGTGGATGATATGACTTTTGAAGGATCTGGCTTGAAGGTCATTTCAGGTGATTCTAGTGGGACTGGAAAAAGGATTTTCTACGGATAAACATTGCGAGGCTTCGACAGGCCCAGCAAAATCAATCTCAACAATTATTTTGCTCTTTTTATTGTAATGTAATCATGTACACTGCTGTTTGGGATCAGCAATTTTTAATCATTTTATTCAGCAAGGATGTATTAAATTGGTCAATTGTGACAGTAAAGACATTTATAGTGTTATAAAAATTCTGTTTCAAATAAATGCTTTTCTTTTTAATATTCTGTCCGTCAAATAATCCTGGAAAAAAAATGTATCACAGTTTCCACAGTTTCACAGTTTTTTTATTAAGCAGCACAAATGTTTAAAATATTACAATAGAGAACAGTTATTTTAAATTGTAACAATATTACTGTTTTTATTGTATTTTTGATCAAATAAAATCAGCCTGGATGAACATAAGAGACTTCTTTCAAAAACATTGAAAATAATAGTGGTACATTTCAAAATTAATCTCTTAATTTCCACACAAAAAAAAACAAGGAGAAGAAAGACACATGTAGAGTAATAATGTGGCTTCTAACTTACTAGCAACTACAGATGATATACTGTCAGTCTTAGATTTTTAAACAAGGTGTTGAATTAGCTGAGCTATTCAAAAGATGAGAATATTACTGACCTCTAAAGGTCATGGGGAGAACAGGAGGACCCTTGAGGACTAAGCAATTCCAGACATTCCTTGTCCGGGGACTTCCTGTCCTGTCAGACAGTCTGTGTGCCACAGGGGTAAGAGAGAGAGAGATGCTTAATGAAAATGAGCATACATTTGTCTATGTGTGTTTGTATTCTGCTTCCACTTAGCAGAACCTTTATCCTCAGACTCATGTGTCTTCAACAATGCAGGAAGAAATTAAAGCCCTGGTGACACTGGTGCCGTAAAAACTGAATTTGCATACAATGTTCCAGTCAAACAGTAAAGTACAAGACACAGGTACATAGTAGACATACTTTGCATTTTTAGCAACACAGAATTAAATTCCAAGCTACATGAAGAAAGCAATATCTGATCCATTCCAAGAGCTTCATGGCATAATTTCACAATTACATGTGCTTTTAAGTGAATGCCATTGTTTCATTGTATCTTAGCATCAGACAGAACCATTTCAAGGTTTTGAACCAAACCATAAATGTGTTTCTATATTTCTCTGAATGTCATTTATAGTATTTGCATTACTGATTTTAAAGTGGCTATGGGAATGGGGATTATTTGACTCTTGTTGTTGCATTCTTGAAGAACAAAAAAGGGTGAATAAAATAAACTAAAACTGTCAAATCTTGCCAGGCTGAAATGCGAGAAGCATTTCATGTGGGTGGTTGAGAAGGCTTTGAGAAACATTTTTCTTCAGGGCCTTTAGATCAGAGGAAAATTGTCAAATTATCTCTCAAATGTCTTTAGCCTATCATCTTCTGCTTTTTTCATCACTGGTCAAAAGGTCCCAGAGACGAGAGAAAGAAATCTTTCAGCTATCATTCGGCTAACGAAGGCTGAAGTCTTTTTCTTTCTCATTACTGTGCGGAATCTCTCACCAGAGCCGGAGTTTGCATTAACCTAACAGTCATATTGGAAAACCTGTTACCTGCAAAGCCAAAGGTAATTAAATGCAACACAAGCATAGTGTGCTCTGCAGTGACATGTTTCTGCATACTCTGGAATTTTCCCATGACGCTGAAACACAAATCAATCATGCAACGCTATAAGTGACATCTCAATAACAGTCACGATAGAATGAAACTAAAGAGAAAGACGATCTACAGACTCTCATTAAAAAGAATCAACAACAGGATGTTTTTACGTAGCGGACAGGAAACACTACACATTATTGAGATGTTTTACAGTAGTAGGCCTAGTATCCCACTCAGTGCAACGTGCATTCAATTACTGAAGCATGTGGTCCAGCTTCCAGTGTTAAAGTGATAGACAGTTTTTGTTTTATAGTTTTATTTGGATCCCCATTAGCTCCCACCATGATGCGGTCGCTAGTCTTCCTGGGGTCCACAGAAATCACATTACAAAAATTCAATTAATCAATACATCAATAAGATCTATAAGAGCTATACGATATATTAGCTACCATGACACACATTTAAAATGAGTTCAAATTACAGTTATGCAAAAGCAACATCTATTCAACATGTAACTCAAAACAATTTAAAACAAAAACAAACATGCGAAAATAAAATAATACAGGTAATACTTTCACACCTGTAATCTCTGTTTTATTATTTTCTTAAAAGAAAATTTACTTTTAGTTCCCTAACACTGGATGGAAGTGAGTTCCACTCTACAGCCCCTCTGTATACAATAGTTTTCTTCATAAAATTACACCTTGGACTGGGAGTAATCATTATCCTGTTGCGGACTGAGCGTGTCACATGCTCATGACCATATCCACTAAACAATATTTTTCTTTTATAAATATATGCTTCATAAGCCCTGACCTTGTGCATAAGCAACAAAAGATTATATTTTACTTTTGCCTCTACTGTTAACCAAGATAATCTAATATGCATCTCACGCACACTAGCGCTGTTACGGGTGTGGTATCCAGGAAGCACGAGGAATAAGTAGAAACAGGATTTAATAACAAAACTCAGGAGCATATACACACACTATACATAAACGAGAACGGACAAGGAATGAGGGAGAACACAGGGTTTAAATACACAGGGAACAGATTAGGGAAACCAGGCACAGCTGGGGCAAATTAACTAAACACAGGTGAAGGAACTGAACACAAACGAGGAGCGGGAAAACTGGGACACTGGACTGAACCAAAAACACTAAACAGGGGGAAACACGACATACATGTAACAGAACGCCCCCTCCGGAAAAGGCGCGTCCTCGCGCCGTATTACATCAATAGGGGTGGGGGGGTGGACGCCCGGGAGGCTGACGAGGGCGTGGACTATCTGGAGTAGGAAGCCTCCAGGGCGGAGCAGGCTGTGCAGGTGGCCAGGGTGGAGCAGGCTCTGCAGGCGGCCAGGGTGGAGCGAGCCCTTCGGGTGGCCATGGCGGAGACCTATAGCCCCCCCCCCAAAAAAATTCTTGGGGAGAGTGACAGGCTCTGGGACAGACGGGACGTGAACAGTCTCTGGCTGGGCAGACGGGACGTGAACAGTCTCAGGCTGGCCCGGCGTGAAGGTCTGGCTCGGCAGGCGTGACGTGAAGGTCTGGCTCGGCAGGCGTGACGTGAAGCGCGGGCTCGGCGTGGCTGACGTGAAGCGCGGGCTCTGGACTGGACAGAACCAGTGATGAAGGCGGTTCTGTACTGGACTGGACCAATGGCGAAGAGGGCTTTGGGCTGGGCAGGTCCAGCGGCGAAGACGGCTCTGGGCTGGGCAGGGCCAGCGGCGAAGACGGCTCTGGGCTGGGCAGGGCCAGCGGCGAAGACGGCTCTGGGCTGGGCAGGGCCAGCGGCGAAGACGGCTCTGGGCTGGGCAGGGCCAGCGGCGAAGACGGCTCTGGGCTGGGCAGGGCCAGCGGCGAAGACGGCTCTGGGCTGGGCAGGGCCAGCGGCGAAGACGGCTCTGGGCTGGGCAGGACCAGCGGCGAAGAGGGCTCTGGGCTGGGCAGGACCAGCGGCGAAGAGGGCTCTGGGCTGGATGGTCTCTGGCTGGACGGTCTCTGGCTGGACGGTCTCTGGCTGGACGGTCTCTGGCTGGACGGTCTCTGGCTGGACGGTCTCTGGCTGGACGGTCTCTGGCTGGACGGTCTCTGGCTGGACGGTCTCTGGCTGGACGGTCCCTGGCTGGACGGTCTCTGGCTGGACGGTCCCTGGCTGGACGGTCTCTGGCTGGACGGTCCCTGGCTGGACGGTCCGTGGCTGACGTGAAGCTCTGGCTGGACGTGGCTGACGTGAAGCTCTGGCTGGACGTGGCTGACGTGAAGCTCTGGCTGGACGTGGCTGACGTGAAGCTCTGGCTGGACGTGGCTGACGTGAAGCTCTGGCTGGACGTGGCTGACGTGAAGCTCTGGCTGGACGTGGCTGACGTGAAGCTCTGGCTGGACGATCTCGGCGGGACGAGACCCCGGCTGGGCGGGCTTCTTGGCGGTTCGTGCGGCTTTTAATGGTGGATCTGCCTGGCTGGACACCAGCCCTTGACGTCCATAGACAGACCTGATGGCAGGCTCGTCACCCATCACCGTGAGCGGCGAATCACAGGACACCAGTATCCATTCCACGTATCGGGAGAAGCTCCATCGGGGGCCCTTTCCGGACAGCTGCTCTCTGGTGGCGGTGTTGAGGCCGGCATGCAGGAAACTGCAGAGGCAGTTGTCCGGGAAAGTTGTAGCTGGCACGAGGCAGAGGAATTCCTCTAAATGTTCCTCGAGGGATCGGCCCTTCTGCTCTAAACAAAGCAGTTTGACTGCTGCAAAGTGGTCCATCTTTTAGGTCCATTCTTCTGTTACGGGTGTGGTATCCAGGAAGCACGAGGAGACGAGGAATAAGTAGAAACAGGATTTAATAACAAAACTCAGGAGCATATACACACACTATACATAAACGAGAACAGACAAGGAATGAGGGAGAACACAGGGTTTAAATACACAGGGAACAGATTAGGGAAACCAGGCACAGCTGGGGCAAATTAACTAAACACAGGTGAAGGAACTGAACACAAACGAGGAGCGGGAAAACTGGGACACTGGACTGAACCAAAAACACTAAACAGGGGGAAACACAGGACATACATGTAACAAGCGCGAAAAGAACAGTGCAGAACTACTCTGGCTGCTCTATTCTGTGCAATTTGAAGTTTTCTTAGATGTTTTTGGGCCGCGCTACTCCAAACTACTGGACAATAATTTAAGTGAGACAGAACAAGACTTTGGACGACGTTTTTCAATATAGCGGTTGGACAATATACAGAGCATTTTCTGGACATAGCGATACCCCTGCCCATCTTACTGACAATGTGGTCAATCTGGTCTGACCAAGATAATAAATTATCAAGTCTAACACCCAGCAGTGTGAATCTAGTAACCTGCTCGACCTCATTGTTCTCTATATGCAAATTAAGTGGGGTGATACTTGGTAACATGTATCTATTGCAAAATATCATAAATTTAGTTTTAGAAATATTCAGTACTAATTTATTCTTTTTCACCCAGTCCACTACTGTATTTAACACATGCTGAAGATTCTCATTGAGTTCAGGCAATGTTGATGCTGCATTGAATAAAGTTACATCATCAGCATTCATAACAACACTAGCCT